TTTATAACAAAGAGGACTATCAAAATAACATTTCAAAACCTATTTACTTCATATAAAAAACTCACAACTGATCAACTGAAACAGTTCTGCCATTTTGGTTTATTGCTGTAGCAAAGACATAATTTCACCCTTATAAAAGCTTATTTACTAATTCTATTAGTGAATTAGTAATTCTAAATTACATTAATTTCCAAGTTGGTGAAGCATATCATGGTTATCTTGTTTGCTACTAATTTACAAATTAAATTCATATATGAGTAAAGTATTAATCTAATAAACACCTCTAAATTTTTTCAAAACGAGTAAAATATTTTGATGCCTTGTGATTTACATTAACAATGTAAGTCATACCCACCCATAGAAAACTCACCTATTCATTTACCCAAATCATCCTTCTCAACTATCACCCCTATGGTGATGCCTCCTGAATCCACATCTTTCTACTGACTGTTGCCTTTGTTCCGTGTCTCAAATTACGCATACTGTATCTTACTGCTTGTGTCTGTCTCATTTTTCAGCCGTAAAAGGACTTTGGACGACCCACTGTCATAAAAAACACCACAAACTCAACACCGAACTCTTCTTCTTCCCCAAAGAGATCCTCATTCCAACTTCCCTGACTCCAACACTGGGCACCACATTCTTCCAAACAACCTAGGTGTCATTCTTGGTTCATCCCTTCACTTTATTCTAACATTGAGATTGTCACCTAGTCCTATCTGATTTCCTCTGCAAAGTATCTATCCATGAGTCCCTTACCCAGTATTCTCACTATTACCAAACTGAAGACTTCGTTCCTTAATTTTAACACCATTTTATCTGACCTCCTTGGCTCCAGGCCCATTACCTTCAACCCACTGTATAAGCCACGCTCCCAGGTTAGTCTTTCCTAAGTACTACTTTCCCCATGTTGCTCCTTTGCTCAAAAAACCTACCAAGGCTCACTAGTTCTTACTGTATTAAGCTTAAACTCTTCCTTTTTGTTTTTAACCTAAGACTAGAAGGGAGAAAGAACCTACTCTATATGACATATCTACTCTACACGAGGCATATCCCAGTCAGTTTACAAAGACTTTTTTTTTTTTTAAAACTAAGCGTTATTTTACCAGGCACTGTGCTAACGGCTTTACATGCATTTTATCTCATATAATCCTCAAAATAATCATAGGAGATCAACAGCTGTTATTTCTATTTTATAGACGAGAAAATTAAACAGTAAAGTAGTAAAGGAACTTTGCCAAAGTCATCAAGCTAAAAACTGCGAAGGCAGACTGCCACAAATCTGACCAATTCCAAATATAAATTCATCTTTACATAAATCAGGTTCATTGCCTTTTCATAATCTGCTTTCTCACCAATTCAACTTCATTTCCCAAAAGTACTCTAAATGTACTCTCTACTTATAGCCAGTTTCCTCAAAGCCCCACGAACACTAAATTTATTCCCATCCCAATTCCTCTGTCTTCACATTATAATCTTCGACAAAGTCCTCTCTTCTTCACATTCTACTAATCCTTCAAAACAAGGCTCATGTTCTGCCTTTCCGAACTGCTCGAGCTTGGTCCTCCTCCACATCCCTGCACTACTTAGACTCTCAGCCCTGCACGTACTCGTCACCTGTCGCTCACTGTTGCATTCTCAGTGTTGCTCGTCTCCCCAGCTTGACTGTGGTTGAGATAGGGCCCTGTTTTTTTCTTCTTTTTGTGCCACTCACTGTATCTAGCACAGTGCTAAAAAGAAAGTGGATGCTAATACTCGCTATTTTTGCGAAAATGACTGTCCTTCTCTTTTACTTGATATTACACTTTTGAAGATCAATAATCGCATAATTTTGAGCCACTGAACAAAAATAGTCAAAGTGCCAACTATTAATATTATAAACAAAGTTTAGATGACATTTTAAATATAAGAAGAAATAACTATTTCTTCTCATAAGACAGAGTTTCATTCTGTCACCCGGGCTAGAGTGCCCTGGTATCAGCCTAGCTCACAGCAACCTCAAAATTCCTGGGCTCAAGCGATCCTCCTGCCTCAGCCTCCCAAGCAGCTCAGACTACAGGCACACGCCACCATCCCCTGCTAATTTTTTCTAGTTGCCCGGCTAATTTTTTTTTTCTATTTTTAGTAGAGATGGGGTCTCAGTCTTGCTCAGGCTGGGCTCTAACTCCTGAGCTCAAGCAATCCTCCTGCCTCGGCCTCCCAGAGTGCTGGGACTACAGGTGTGAGTCACTGTACACAGCCAGAAATAACTATTTTTCATATCCCAAAACATAACAGACTCTTAAGTACTTAATGTAGGTATTTCACTTTTCATTAAAATGAGTGGCTACCTTTTCTGATTTTGCTATAAATGCACCTTAGATGGCAGAGAACTGATGAATAAATCTTTTACTTAGGCTAACAATAAAGTAAAACTATCCTGAAACTTTGCTATAATGCTAATCTTAGGTACCATGTTATAGTTGTTATAGGTAAGCCAAGATCCTTAATAATGAAAAAAAACAAAGATCTCCTTGGACAGGATCGTACAAGGATGCTTTTTGTCATAAAGCACTACGTGATATTACAAACAGGCTAACCACTATTAAATTTTTACATTAACAAATGTTGTGGGACAGGTAAAATGAACACCAGTACTGTATAACACCCTAATGGTACCACTGGTTCGTTTCTGTTCAAACATTCCTCCCTTTGTCCCGCACCCTCCCTCTCCCACCAATCCACCCACTGAGAACATGCTCCCACTCGCTCGTTTCTCTCAGACTGGAACGCATCCGCACACAAGCAAGCGCAGCTACGTTACCTAAGCATGCAGCAGCACCAACCATGGCATACAGGCCAGGTGTGATGCAGTCGGCCCCGACCTCACACCACTCCTTAAAGATGAACCAGTCGTGGTGATAGTAGGCCAGCTGCTCCACCGCGATGCCCACGATCCTCCCCGCGATCGCGCCGATGGCCATGCTGGGGATGAACAAGCCTGAAGGGACCTGTAACCAGAACAGAACTCTTAACGGAGCAGAGGTCCTCCGCTTACGTGCTGAAACCTACAGTCTGTGGATCTGCTTCTAACGCTTTTGATTCTTTGCACATTTTACTCATACAGCAAAATCCTAGTACAAATACAACTATGAGCAAAATCTTGTACCTTAATTCCATGAATTCAACTACAAAGTAACAGAACCACACTCTCTACGCCAAAGAGAAAATAATTTAAGGGTTGTTTATCCTTTAGCTCAGAGGTTCTCTATTGCCATTCTCTAATAAAATTTTCATTAGTCCATGGTAAAATGAAAGGGAAAAAAGAACAACATTAAGTATTTTTAATAAAACTGAGTTGATTCAGTTTGAAGCACTGTACTTCATCCCAAGATTATGTCCTTCCTATACATTTACGAATGAGATATTAGATGCTATTTGTCTTATCTAGTGCAATATAAAGTGGGCAATCTTATCGGAGTGCCCCAATATTTTGAGCGACATATTGGCATACCACACTGCATTGTGCTTCATGGAAACTGTGTTTTTTTACAAATTGGAGGTTTGCAGTGACACAGCATAGATCATCTGTTGGTGCCATTTTTCCAATAATGTGTTCTCTTTGTGTGTCTGTGTTACATTTTGGTAATTATCAAACTATTTTAAACTTTTTCATTATTTTTATATCTATTATGGTGATCTGTGATCAACGATCTTTGATGTTACTGTTGTAGTTGTGTTATGGCAACACAAACCATGCCCATTTAACAGCAAACTTAGTAAGTGTCGTGTGTGTTGTGACTGCTCCACCCACTGACCATTCACCATTTCCCTCTGTCTCCTTGGGCCCCCTAAAATACCCTGAGACACAACAATATTGCAATTAGGCCAATTAATAACTCTACAGTGGCCTCTAAATATTCAATTGAAAGGAATAGTTACATGTCTCTCGCTTTAAATCAAAAAGTAGAAATGATTAAGCTTAGTGAGGAAGGCATGTTGAAAGTCAAGATAGGCCAAAAGCTAGGTCTCTTGTGCCATGGTGTCCGTGCAAAGTTCTTGAAGAATATTAAAAATGCTACTCCAGTGAACACACAAATGATAAGAACATGAAACAGCCTTATTGCTGATATGGATGAAGTTGTAGTGGTCTAGATAGAAGATCAAACCAGCCGCAACATTCCCTTAAACCAAAGCCTCCTCCAGAGCAAGGCCCTAACTCTCTTTGATTCTGTGAAGGCAAAGAGGGGTGAGGAAGCTGCAGAAGAAAAGTTTGAAGCTAGCAGAGGTTGGTTCATGAGGTTTAAGGAAAGAAGCTGTCTCCGTAGCATAAAAATACAAGGTGAAGCAGCAAGTGCGGATGTAGAAGCTGCAGCGAGTTATCCAGAAGATCCGGCTAACATCATTGGTGAAGGTGGCTGCACTAAGTAGCATATGTGCAATGCAGATGAAACAGCCTTCTACTGGACGAGGATGCCATCTAGGATCTTCCTAGCTGGAGACGAGAAGTCAGTGCCTGGCTTCAAAGCTTCAAAGGACAGGTTGACTCTCTTGTTAGAAGACACTGCAGCTGGTGACCTTAAGCTGAAGGCAATGCTCTTTTACCATTCCAAAAATCCTAGGGCCCTTAAGGATTATGCTAAATCTACTCTGTGCTCTAGAAATGGAACAACACAGCCTGATGACAACACCTCTGTTTAAAGCATGGTTTACCGAATATTTTAAGCCCAATGTTGCGACTTACTACTCGGAAAAAAAGATTCCTTTCAAAATAGTACTGCTCATTGGCAATGCACCTGGTCTCCTTACAGCGCTGATGAAGATGAGCGTTGATTTCACGCCAGCTAACACAACATCCATTCGGTAGTCCATGGGTTAAGGAGAAATTTGAACTTTGAAGTCTTAATGAAGAAATATATTTC